TTTCCCACTATTCGAAATTGGAACACCATCTACATTTATCATTAATTTTACTTTTTGATCTTGCACACCTTTATTTCTTCTTTCAATAAGTATGTTCTCAACTGCTCTTTCCAAACCAAAGTGGTGATACACACCATCACTCATTTCAGCACATTCTGTTTTTCTGAGGGTTCCTAACAACGTCCTTGCATCTACTGGTAAACTGGAATCAAATACTCTTAGCAAGAGTAATAAAGCTGAAAGGGCAATTAAAGTTATGTGGAACTTTAATGCCCATTCTCGGAGCTTGGCTGAGAACGTATTTTCCTTTACAGGTGTTTCATCCCGATATAAAAAATCTGATAATTCCAAGTCATCTTCGCCAAGATCACTATCGGTCTTCCTGGTGTCTTCATTACATGTGATTTCCGAATCACTATCAAAATTGTAATTATTGTCAGAGTCGAAATCTAAAACAAACTTGTCACTAACATTGGATTCCATTTCACAAGGCTCGTTTTCAATACATGGTGCGTTAGAAATTTCATTATTGTCTGAAAATGATGATGAACACAAATTCAAGTCTATATTAACATTGCATAATTTTGATGGTGGTTCACTGTCAATAAAAGTAGGTAATTCGACATTAGGTAAAAGTGATGAAATATTTGAGACTTCTCCAATACTTGTTTCGAGTGGAGTCGATGAACTATGCTGAGATTGCACGAGATTGCAATCGTTTAACAAGCGTTCTTGAACTATTTTTCGAAAGCGACGTGAAGAAATGCCATATTTTTTCGGTGGTTGTTTTTTCATGATTTTCCCCATGGTTACTAAAATTTATTTAAAACATAATAATTTTTAATATATTCAATTATTTTCTGAAATTCTTATACATTGAAAATTTTACAGAATTATAGTGTAAATACAAGGAAAAAATAAATTTACCAGATATTACAAAACGGTCACACAGTACGGATACAGCTTATTACAATACTGAGTTTCGTAAAGTGTAAGGAATATTTCAGGATCAAGTATAGAAATTTCGTAGTTTATACTGAATATTTCTAAAGTTTATCCTGAAATATTCTTTACACTTTACAAAACTCGGTTTCGTAATAAGCTGTATCCGCTACTCCGTTAAAGTTTGGTAAAATCTGCTAAATTAATTTTTTCCGAGAGTTTCTTAAAATTTATTTATTTTAAATAATTTATATATAAATTTTAAAAATTAATTTTTTTATAAAATGGTCTGTTCTTTATAAATAAATTGTAAATATTTTTAGGACCAAAGAAATATTTGATAGTTTCTCTTGAAGTAACTACATTTATATTGATATATCACTAACGTTTTTATTTTTAAAATAACAATTACAGGGATCGGATCGTCTTTAAGACTAAAAGAAGTCGCTTTAGTCGCATAAATTTACAACAAAAGTCAAGAAAAGTCACATAAAATTTCCAAAAAAGTTGGAAAAAAGTCGCATGAAATTTTAGAAAAAACGACAAAAAAAACACGAAATTGTCAAAATTGTAAAAAAAATCACATTTCTCAACAACAGATACATTAATATCAAACAATCAGGAATAAAATTTAATAAAATTCATAGCAAAATTTTAATTAGGTATTTTTAACATTTTTTTAAAAATTCTCTTTAAAATGTCAATTATTTTTATAAATAATAAAATTCTTCTCCGAAATTCAATTATTTAACAAAAATTTTAATAAAATTCTTGTCGAAATTTCAATTATCTTCATAAATAATAAAATTCTTCTCTGAAATTCATTTATTTTCAAAAGTAATAAAATTCTTCACACCAATTCAATTATATTCAAAACATTTTATAAATAATAAAATTCATCATAAAAATTTAATTGTTTTTAAAAGTTCTGATAAAATTCTTTGCAAAATTCAATTATCTTCAAAAATAATAAAATTCTTCTCTGAAATTCAATTATTTGTAAAGAATTTTAATATAATTCTTGTCAAATTTTCAATTATCTTTATAAATAATAAAATTCATCCTAGAAATTCAATTATTTTCAAAATTTTTTTTAAATTCCTCGTTAAAATTTTTATTATCTTCATAAAATAATAAAATTCATCCTGGAAATTTAATTATTTTAAAAAGTTCTGATACAATTTTTTGCAAAATTCAATTATCTTCAAAAGTAAGAAAATTCTTGACAGAAATTCAATTATTTTCAAAATTTTTTTTTATTCTCTTAAAAATTTCAATTATTTTTGTAAATATCAACATTCTTCTGCAAAATTCAATTAGGTACTTACTAATATTTTATAAATTTCTTCCCAATAATTCAACTATTTGCATAAAAAATAATTAAAAAAATTTTTTTTTATAAAGTCTTAGAATTTAAATTAATGATTTTATCACTCGGTCATCTTTAATTATTATAAAACATGAAGACATCGATTGTTCCGAGTCGAAGACTCGGAGTAATCGATTTCTTCATGTTTTATAACAATTTTTTTATAAGTTGTTTAATTTCAAAAAGGTTTGAGTTTGAATCTTTTGAAGAATTTTAATTTCTATGGAAAAATAATAATTAAATATTTATTCAAAAAAGAAGTTACTGATGTTTTCAAAAAATTTGTAAATAAATGTAACAGAATATTTTTTTGACTCAAACTTTTTCCTTTAAATTTAAAAAAAAAATTTAAATTTCATTCGTATTTTCCTAAAATGAATCTCAAAAAAGTCGATTAGTCGCATTTTTTCACAAAAAAGTCGAAAAAAGTCGAAAAAGTCGCCCAATCCGAGCCCTGCAATTAACAAAATTTTCGGCTCTGAAAGGTCAAAATTTGTTTAGTGAAATTTTATCAAATGCATAGTTCTTGTTGGTCATAAAGAGAAATATATTTATATGTACTAGAAACAACAGTGGCATTTCACGTAAAAATAGGTTAAAAAAGGGGATTTTGAAAAACTCAAGAAAAAAAATTTGGCGCACATACGTTTTTTTTAAATTAGTGGTATCATATCGACGGGAATTAGATAAATTTGGTAAATTTAGTTCAGAGAGTAAATAACACAAATTAAAATTTTTTAACATCACGTTTTTAGTATTTACTCACACATTTCAAATTTGTTTATTTTACTTTGGATTTCTGTATTTAAAAAGAAGGAAAATTTGAAAACCCCCAAAACACGTTTTTCTTTCTTTACCCAACTTTCTTGAGAAGTATGTCACGCTAGGTTATATTTGAGATCAGGGATCGTATTCAGGAGTGGAAAGTACATTGGAAACCATTATGTAACAAAGACTAAATTATTAAGTTAAATCGTATCAATGCAAATTGAAAAAGGAATATGAAAGTATGAAGTTAAAATTACATGCTTTAGTGTTTTTTTGCAAAATTAAATATTATAATTTTTATTGTGTTAAAATTAATCTTTATAAATTATTAGTCCCTGCAATTAAAAATAGACATAACTTAAAAACAGTGTCGGTAATTACAATAAATTTATTATTTCTCTACTTTTTATGAATTATCATTTACAAAAAAGATTTTTGTTACTTTTAGAAAGTAACAAAATTTATAATAATTATTACTTGAACTAACTAAATGAATTACTTCTTTCGAAAACAAACTTTTGGTAAGAATATAACATGAACTTAAAATTAATTATTTGCTTACATTTTACACAATTAATGCTATATATCAACTCTCCGATTAATTGTAAGGCCATAAAAATTATTTTGGCCGATTTAGATTACAAGAAATATAGAAAAGAAATCTAGTTCAAAACAAAAATTCGAAAAAAAAAAAATTGAAAGTATTAGTATGTATTAGTAACTTTAGATTTTAGGGAAAACATTTTCTTTTATGAGAAATTAAGTAAAGAAAAGAAAATAAAAATAATAAAACCAAATAAAATAAACATGAAAAAGAAGAATGTTTAAATTTTCAAAGAATTTGATTAAAATACTTTTTAAAAGAATTATAATATATAACAAAAATTAATAATGAGTTTAGACAGAATCGATTTTCGGATATTAATATCAAAATTCTTATAAAAATTATAGGATTTCTGAAGGTCTGCATATACATTTTTTTTTTTAATAAATTGAGAAAAGTATTTAGCATTTTTGAAAAAAAGTCGGAAAACGTCTACTCTACTCCAATACTATTCTTTTCTTACACTTTTGGATAATTTACATATTGAAGTATTGTTATATGGTCGTAAACAATTAAAATAAAATTGGTTTGCAATGATAAAATATAAAGTTTATATTAGCATTGAGATCATCAAAAAGTGCGTTATGATTTTGAGGTTAACTATACAAATTTTCACTTACAACTCATAAACTAGTTTCTCTGCTATCACAAATACTTTTGATTCTGTTCGTCAATTTAAACAATATAAAACCAAACCAAATTAAAAATAGAACATAAACATTACAAGAAAATAAAGAAAAGCACAAAGATAAACAAAACAAATTACAAGGCAAATTAGCGAAGCGCGAGAACACGAGGCAGTCACAGTGCATATAAGAAATCAGACTCAACTAAACTTGACGTTTTATTCCTACTGCGCAACTCACGCCTATGGCGGCCTAACCTTCAATAACGTCTCCAAGAACATGCATAAACACAAACCTATATTTAAAATGTTTGCTGTACTTATTTTAAATATTAATAATTATTTTTTGATAAATAGAATGTATTCTAAACATTTAACATTTATTAATGCCTATGTAAAAAGAGTTAAAAAATTATTTGAAACAGCGTTATTATTCACAAAAGGGAAACGACGTCATTTGATTCAAAATGAATATAACATCATTTCCGCTATATAAATAACAATGTTTTTTCTTGATTTTTTAATTTTTTTAAGAGAAAAGTGGATAAACCAGCATATATTTCAGAAATATACTTTCCATGCATTAAAATGTAATTATTAGAATTTATTATTTAAGCTTAATAGAACTATATCAAAATTCCAAGAAAATAATAAAATTTAAAGTATGCGCAAGAGAGTTGCGCAGAATGTCAAGTACATGAAAGGCATGATCGCATGAAAGCAGCGTTTGGCCATTTGCAAAAGCAGCATTCCATCACATTCCATTGTGATACTGTTCATTTCTTGTGTTCTCGTTAATATTTCAGTGTTATTTTTTGTGTATATACCATGGCGGTCGATGCAGTAAATTATCAATTTGCTATCGTATTATTTAATGATAATACTGTAGAAATAATTCGCACTGACTGGGCTGAACTTGACGCGAATGGAGATGTGACAAGAAGCTTCTTCCCCTCAACAAAAAATAAGAAATTTCTTCAGGATATATTGAAAAATAATCCCATCCCAGATATAAATTGGACAAACGAAGGTGAAATGTGGCCTGTCAAAAAAACATATCGCTACTTTGGTATGTATGGCTTTAAAAAATTATAATCTTAATTTAGATATATAAAGTTAGTAATTTTAAACGTCGGTGAAGTTCGCAACGTTTATGATCAACGATTGAAAAAAAAATTATTTTCCTACGAAAAAGAATAAAATTTTTTGTTCATAAATATTTATTTTGTAAATCATTATTCAAAAAACTAACCAAAATATTTTCTATACCTACAAAAATTAATAAAAATTTGCTTGAAAAAATATTTTTCTTATGAAATCGTTGATTATAAACGTTGTGAACTTCACCAACGTAATTTTAATATATAATAGAAACAATTTTCCAATTGTAAGAATGTTTCGTTTTATGAAGTTCATTTAAGAAAATCTATCTTCTTTTAATATACAACAAAGTAAGGTTTAATCTGGTTTTTATATTATAAAAAATGCATACACTGAGAAAAAAGAGAGCGTGTTGCAGCACATTTTCCAGTCATGTTGCGCGACTCAACCCTGTGTTCTCCTACCTCCTAGACACTTTTCTGGGGGCGCACAGAGTTCCCCTGATTCGAGGCAAGCTGTATTTAAAGTGCATTATAAAATAATTGTTAGATTTTTCTCTCTTGGATATTTTTTAACTTATTATTCAATTCAACAATATTTTAGAAGTTCATTCAATACACGTATTTAAAAAGTAATTTTAAAAATATTTTCAGATTATTTTTATTCAAAATTTAAATGTTTTCGTTTAGAAATTTTTGTACGTTAAAACTTTTTAAAAATCAAGGAAACTTTAATTTTATTAAATTAAATTAATAAATTGATTCAAAAAACCCTCATCAAATTTTTTACAGTTCAATTTAGAAAAAGGAGAGAAATTAAAATTTTATTAACAAGTAGGTAAATGTAATTAGAAAAATAATTAATTTATTTAATTTCCCTTTCATTTTTTTTAATAAAATAAATGTAAATTAAAATTTTTTAACTGAACATACGCTTTTTCTTTAATTGTAACCCTAGTAATATTGTTAAAAAATAATTTTAGAAACGTTAGAAGAGGCAGAAAAGAATGTGGAGTATTATATAAACCTAAGCGATGTCGAGACAGACGACGAGAGAAATCGTGAAAAAATGAAAAAATCAAGACATCAACGTGCGATTAAAAATCCATCTAACAGTGATACGGACACCGAATATGAAGCTTCAAAAGCTGTAAAGAAAGAAAAATTTGTGGCCTTAACTTCTTCAGAGGGAAACAAGAAATTTAAATTAACATTTCATCCCACTATACCGGTTGAAAAAATTGATTTGGATACATCTTCGGCATCTGCGAAGATAGAGGAAGCCTTAACAGCTCCAAGTAAAATACCATTTTAAATATTAACTATATAAATCATTTTAAAGGTCAGAAGTTTTTGAAATTAAAAGATATGTTTTTTACAATTATTTAGGCCTTACAAAGGAACAAAAAATTTTGTTTATTTTTAATGAAACATTCTCAGAATGACTGTTTTGATTTTTTCCAATTATTTTTTCAAAAAAGTATAATTTTTCAAGTTTCTTATATATATTTTGTAAGAAAATAACTTTTTTTATATAAAATCTAACTTATTTAATTTTTGTAAAGTGACTTGTAACTAAAGTGAAATTTTAAAAACTATGTTTGAATAATTTTTCAAACAAAATTCAATTTTTGAAATTTTTAATTGAAAATGTTTAAAATAATTAAAAATAAAAATTTAAAGAATTTTAATTGAAAATTTTGAAACTAATTGAATTCTATAAAATTTGATAAAAAAATCATCAAATTTAAATTTGAAATCAGACATTTTTAACAAAATTTTGTACCAATATTTTAATTGTAAAAGATTTATCGTTAAATACAATTAAATTGTTAGAGTTTTAATTGAAAATATTTCATTTTTTATTTGACAGTCTCTAATCCTGAAGAGGTAAACTCAAACTCCTTAGATAAGAGGAACCACAAGATTCAAATTTATTGCAAGATTCAGCTGGTGACAATGGTATGCCGTCTAATAATGGAGGAAATCAGTCAAATGCAAAACCGCATTCAAATGCAGTTCTTAATCTTGCTGACTGTAAGTATATAATAACTATTAAATTAAATATAGATCATAGGATAATTACTTTCCTAAATATGATTTAATTTTTTTAGATAAATGATTATGCATTTTTTATGAAACTAAAATTTCGTAAAATTATATTGAAAATAATTTAACAAAAAAAATTTGCGAAGTCATTTGCAAATAAATTATAAGTATTTTTATATTTCTTGTCATTTTTATAGTAATTGAGTCCCAGGGTTGCCACAGGTCAGGGAATTCAGGGAAAAGTCAGGGATTTTTAGCAAATGTACTGGAAAAATTGAATTTTAAAAATTCATGAAAAAACTCTGAAATTTGATATTTTTTTGTTTGTCTCGTAAACTATGAAATTACCACGAATTTTAATACAAAACCTTGAATTTTTCTATTTCAGACAATAATTTTTTTTTAAATAACTTAATTTTACAAAAACTATCATAAAATTATGACTCATACGTGATTTAATGAATCATTTTTACAATTTTCATAAATACTAAATTGATAAAAAAAATTTAGTTAAAAATAATAAAAAAAAAAATTGAATTTTTGAAAAGTTACGTCAGTTCAGTATCATCTTTATAAATAGTACAATTCTTCTTCGAAATTCAATTATTTTTAAAAACTTGAATAAAATTCTCGTTAAAATTTCACAGGAATTCAATAATTTCTAAAATATTTAATAAATTTCTTTGAAATAATTCAATTATTTCCATAAATAATAAAATTCGTCACAGAAATTCAATTAATTAAAAGAGTTTTATAAAATTCGTCGCATGAATTCAATTATTTTTATAAATAATGAAACTCATCGCAGGATTTTAATAATTTGGATACACTATTCTGATAAATTCTTCTCTAATTATTCTACAATTTCATTTACTAATTTTTCAAATAATGTCATATTAACCTTTGTTGATAAATCTTTATGAGAATTTTTTTGTTGAGAAAATTGGCAGTGCGCCTTTGAATTTTCCCCCCCGTTCTTGTTTATTATT